GGCAAGCCGACTACATTCACTGAGAGACGCGCTTGGCGTTCCATAGAAATTACCGGCGGCTCAACCGGTCATATCCCGGCTTTCTAGCCTGTTTTTAGGCCTAGGGTCTAGGCCTAGTAATATTATTATATCATCAGCCTAGCTTTAAAATGGTGATTATTTATTATAAATAAAGACAATACGGCGCGTACTAATACTCACCAGATTGATGTTTAAATTTTTGCAAATCAAATTTGAAAGGAAAGCTTGGATAATTTCTTTGACAAATTCGCTACTGCAATCAACTAAAGAGAAAGGCTTTCTTGACATTTGACCTCTATAGAAGTATTCTGAATCCCCATCGTCCGCCAGAAAAATAATATTTTATTTTTTTCTGAATTATTTAATAAATTGCCTAAAATTACACTATAATTCAATTTTTAGGTCCTATTATTTCACAAATTAGTAAATAATATATTTTAATTGTGTTATAATATGTTGTATTAATTACATATTCATTAGTTATCATCAATAAAATAAAAATTATAGTACGAGACCCTAGAGAAAAGAGGGTAATAACGGTTATGGTATTTAGGTGACCGAAGTTACCCCACTTTACGGTATGTTTAATTAATTGGGCAGTTTGACGCCTACAGTGTCTTGTCCAGAGGGAGACGAAATATTATTATTTTTACAGTTAATTAAATAATAAATTAACCTAGGCCTAAGCCTTGGCCTGTAACTCTAGTTATATTTATTAGGCCATAAACTGCTATAATTTTATAACTTAAAAATGTATGGCTCGCATGGCTCGCTGGCTCGCATGGCTCGCTCATTGGCTCGCATGACTCGCTGGCTCGCACTTTGTCACGACCCTCGTTTTTCTACAGGTTAAAAGCTCGCAGGTTAAAGCTTAAAAGGTCAGAGCTCGAAATTTACACTATAAGTTGGTGTAAATTTACCTACCTAAACCGTTAAGTATTGTACAGTATTAAGAAAGAAAAGGAATTGCTATGTAAATATACGATGAATTCGTAAATTTTGGAATTCCTTGACAATTATATATTTTTAAACATTGTTATTAATAACGTTCCCTAACGTAAAATTAAAGTGAAAACCATTTATTAATAACGTTCCCTAACGTAAAATTAAAGTGAAAACCATTTATTTGGCGCGCTTACGATCACGTGACATCTCAGTTTATGACGCATTATGACACACGCATGCGTAGTGCGTCGACGTTGAGGCGCGGACAGGCGCACGCAGTGGTATGGAAGAGGAGAGCACATGTAAAGTTCGTTTACGTCGGTTCTTTATCTTGGAAAACAAAAGGATCAGTGAGTTCAGTAAGTTTTTATTGTACAAGAACGTATATGGCTATAATATATCCTTTTTTAATTTCCAATTATTACTTATAGGCACTAGTTATCTTCGGTAAAGTTAAAGCGACCTAGGCCTAGAGACTAGGCCTAATTAGCCTACTGTACTACTATTACTACTACTAGGGCTTGGACCTAGGACTGGGCATGGGCCTACCTAGGGCCTGGCCGTAGGCAAGCTAGTTGAAGATTGAAAGTAAGTAGGCAAGGCCTAATAGGACTTGCCAGGTTAGGCCCGATAGTGTACCAAGTTAGCTTAGCTAGGCTACTGCAATGGAGAGCAGACGTTCAAGACCTGGCCATCAACATTTGGGAGCGATACTTTGATTACCAAAATATAAATGAAACGATTTATCCTCTCCTCAGCATTTTGACACCTTTTCTAAAAGAATCTGTTTTCCGACAAAAAAACAAAACACAAAACTTAAGTACATCATTAATCGATTCCTTGCCTTGGCCTCAAACCTACAGGGGTATAGACTGACACCAAACTCACCATCATATCATTTATGATTAGGATAAAGAAGTTAATTATTTTGAATTGTTTCACATCTGTTAACTTGTGAATTTCTTTTTCCTGCACTGTCTCAATTTCGTTTATTGGCATACCCTGTTCCGGTTTTGGACCAATTTTAAAAAATAAAGGTGTCAAATAGTGAAGACTATACTTTTTCATTAAGATAATTATGTACATTTGATATAATTTACCCATTTATAGCCCACAAATAATAACTAGAGTTGCAATCCCATAAACCGAATTCGAAAGAAACATTTTCTACATTGTTGCAATGTTAGAGAAGTGAAGTGAAAATACCTAATAAATTGAGCTTTTTCAGGAACCTAATATCTTCCAGTTGTCACCTTTTGGATTTTAAAGACTAAAATTATAAGATATCTTCCAGTTGTCACTTTTTTTTTTATTTTAAAGACTAAAATTATAAGATAAGGGAAGCAAAATTACACTTTCATTCAAAATTTCCACAACTTTTTGTATGTAAAAATGAAATCTGAACACTGTTTTAACATAATAAATATCCATAAGATAATTATGGAAACTGTTAGTGATTCATGTTTTCGAATTTTGATGAAAGAAAAACGTTTGGGAAAACTGGATGAGCTTGGTGTGGTCCATGAAGCGGATCTTGCACTAGTTATGGAAGGATGACATTCTAAAGGCCATTTTTGTGCACAAGTGTAGTACACATTTTATAAAAGGTAAGATGTACTGTATGGATAAGGTGTGTTGCCAAACAATAATTGTCCTTTTATTCTGATTATGATTGCTTGGAGACTGTATGATCCAAATGAGTTTGGCATTTGACAAATTAACATGCTAATTTTCAACTTGCCAGAATTTAACCCACAACTTTTGATGGTTAAAATATTTATAATTTTCCAACCTTTGGAAGAAAACTATTAAAAAAATATCAATGCTTTCTTAATGTTTAGACGTAATTACACAACAAAATAAATGCATTGATTTAGTTACAAGATACATGCTACAATTATGTGCCCAAGATCCAGGATGTATTTTTTTTCTTTGTCTGAAGTTTTAATTGTTTAGTGTTGTGTTACTCAGTCCTGAATTTTCTTTCCATCAGCAATTATGTTCTTTTTTCCAGCAACATGTGAACAAAAAACACTCCAGAGATATTATGTATGTTAATTATTGCCATGAATTTGTTATAAATTATCAGTTTTGTCTATCACTCTCTTAACATAGTGTCCAAAAATCAAAAGCCACTTTTTGAGCTCAACATGCCAAACCTGACTTGTGTTGCTTGCTGAAATAACATGGCCCTTAATAGGGTATGACTACGATTGTCTTATGTGTTTATTGCCTTGGGAAAACATTTGATAATACAGTAAGTTGATTGTGCATCCAGAGGTGACGGAACTAGGGGATGCTGTGTTATGGAGAGTAATGTGTGACCGGTGGTCTGCATCAGTTGGTTGTTACCATGCGCGCAGTCGCCTTTCAAAAATGTAATATTAAGTGGCCATTATATCTTTGCGTGATCAAAACTATAGGATAAGAGTCCACTAGCATGGTGTTTGGGATGTTATGTGGTGTAGCAGCATTGGGGTTAAAGCAATGCAATTCTATAATTATTATTTGTACAGTAGTTACTGTGCTGTGGATTAAAAATATTTTAAATATTGATTTCTATAGAGCAAAGGAGTCACTTGGACACAGAAGGATTTCAGTCTATGACAGTGGAAACAATCCTGGTGATGTCTACTGGAACAAGGTAGCTAATCAAGTTAAAAAGTATTTTCAGAAAGGGGAATGACAACTACCTTCATCAGAAAGAATTAGCTGGTCCGATATTGTTGATGACTCTACGTATAAAGATTTGTATTTAAAATGTGTTAGTAGCTCTCAATCAACAATTATGATATTGTTTTTATGGGTGAGTCAGTACAACATACTGTATTGCAGTTCTTTGTAATATGTAACCTAATGTTAAGCTAACTACAAGTATATGTATTCCATGAGTCACTAGCATTGAAAGTCCAATTGCCCAGCTAATTTACTAACTTATTGAAACTTGTTAAAATTATGATTAAAATGTAATAAATCTTAATTTTAATTACAAGGAATTACAGACAAGGTGTTTTTAGGTACATTTATCCAGAAGTGTGGTTTCCCTAACTAATGAATTTATGATTGCCTTTGCAACGTCTCTAAGATATGGTGATAGCAAATGATAGTAAACATGATGATAATCTGTTAGTACTGTACAGTGTTATTAAGCTGGTTATGATCCAGAATTGTGAAATAATCTTAAAATATACTATTGATTATTGCATTCTACTAAATTTTATTGTATAGATATTACTATAAATGTTGATTTATGTTTAACGATTCAGTTTTACTTTATGCATTATAATTAAACTAGTGTGGTAACTTAGAAATAATATGTACTATTTATCTTCTCAGTAACAGCAAACAAACTAAGTTCTCTTATTCCGATTATTCATAGACATTGTATTTCATAATTTAATATTACAGTAAGAAATACAACATCGGAATGACATACTATTACAAAATATTCTTATTGGCATAATAATATGTACCATTTCATGCTTTATTATTATAGTAACCAAGATTTCACTACATTTTGTTCTGCAGTTTTCATGATAGTTAATAAGTAAGAAAAAGTACATCAGACATCTGTTGAGGCTCGTTTTTCTTCAACAAAGGCGTGTATTGTAGTTACAAATATAATTTAAAAAAAAAAACAG